CTCCAAGTTGGGAATTGGTGGCCTGGTGCTTGCCTGGCTCCGTTCCTTCTTGAGGGACCGACCCCAGAGAGTACAGCTTGGGGAGAGTGTCTCGGCCCCATGGAGTCTCAATTGTGGGGTTCCACAGGGGTTGATTATCTCCCCAATGCTGTTTAATATCTATATGAGGCTGCCGGGTGGGGTCATCAGGGGGTGTGGGGCATTGTGTAATCAGTACGCTGATGACACCTAGCTCTACATCTCCTTTTCACCAACTGCAGGAGATGCTGTTCTGTCCCTTCAGCGCTGCCTGGGGGCCGTACTGCAGTGGATGTAGGAAAATGGGCTGAGGCTGAACCCGGACAAGACGGAGGTCCTGAGGGTGGGTGCCCCCAGTATCGGCAGCTTGGGTGACTTTGTCTCATTGGGGGGGTGACCCTTGCTGCAAAGAGTGGGGTTCGCAGCTTGGGGATCCATCTGGACCCGGCGTTCACCATGGAGACTCAGGTGGCATCGGTGGTCTGTACTGCCTTTTCCCATCTCTGGCGGATAGCTTGGCTGCGACCTTATCTCGATACGGGGGCGCTCACTACCTTGGTACATGCGCTCGTAATCTCAATATTAGACCACTGTAATGCGCTCTACCTTTGAAGTTGATGCGGAAATTCCAAGTGGTACAGAATGCAGCGGCCAGACTCCTTAGTGGAGCGAGAAAATACCACCATATTTCTCCTATTCTGGCTGTGTTGCATTGGCTGCCCATTCGGTTCCGCATTGACTTCGAAGTCGGTTTAGGGCCTCAATACTTGGCGGAACGCCTACTCCCAACAAGCTCTACCCGTGTCACTCAAGTGAGTCAGGAGGTGAGGCTGAGGAGCCTGATGCCGAGGGAGGCCCAGAAGGAAAAAACAAGAAACCGGGCCTTCTCGGCGGTGGCTCCTTGTCTCTGGAACAATTTGCCTCCAGAGATTAACGTGGCTCCCTCGCTGGGTATTTTCAAAAACCAATTAAAAACATGGATGTTTAGGCAGGCTTTCCCTCCAGTTAATCTCTGATTCTCTTCCTTTCTCTTCTTCTTTTGTGGTTTATTTTTCATTTTTTTCTCCATCTTGAAGAATTGGCTATTTAGTGTAATAATTCCTTTTTATATTTATTGTATTATGTGTTGTAAGCCACCTAGAGTGGTCGCAATGACCATATAGGCAGGATATAAATAGAATAAATAAAAAATAAAAAAAAATTAGTGTTTTCTGTCTCCTGTGGGAATGTGTACAGTAGAACATAACACCAAACATAGGCCATAAATTATTGCATGTGAGATGTAACCCACACACCTGGGATTCTAAAAACCAATGAATGATTTGAATGTTTTACTTGTGATTTCTGTATTTTATTCTGTAATTCATTTTTTCCATATATCTGAAGAAGTGGACATGATCCACAAAAGTTCACATTTAAAATATAATACAGTCGTTAGTTTTTAAAATTTATTTGCCATTTCTTTTTGTAGACTGTACCCACTTGCTTCTTGTGGTCTACAGTCCACAAAAGCTTATGCCAAATAAAACTGATGGTCTTTAAGGTGCTGCAACATTCTTTGTTCTTCATAATTAAAGATGACAGAAGATAACAGGATGGATCCTTTTTCTCATAGAAGATGCCTCCTGATGGTGCTGGACTCTAGTGGAGCCTGCCTCCTGCAGCCATTATTACCACAACTGTAGGCTGTCAAGGAACCTACCATTTAACCAACAATTATGTAAATATTGCCTTCAGATGAAAAGGGGTTTCTTTTAAGATTCCAGCTACTAGCAATAGCTACTGTCTGAGTGCTCCACCACCGAGAAGCACCCTGCAGTGCACAGAAGCCTTGTCTTCTTCCCCTTCACCAGGATGTTTACCTTCCCTGTCTGTCTTAGAACAAATTGCAGACTTTCAGCAGCAGGCCTTCATCCTGCCTGTTGTTGTTTCACAGCCTTGGAAGGGGACTCAGGAGTGTGGATAAACAGAGAATGTATGAAAATCTGTTCACATTTTGGTTTTTGGCTATCCGTGTTTCAGTATAATTAGTGCAAGTTGTGCACCACAGCATCTCTTTTTACATTCAAACGATCATTCTGAATCTTTAACCTCCTTTGCAAAGAACGATAGTTCTATTCCCATTCAGATTCACTTGGGGTTTTCAAATACTGGATCACCTCTGGAAAACAAGTTTGGTCATTCTTAAGTTCAGAGTTTGGTACCTGATATCCTAAAATTTCTGTCACCTTGAAACACATGTGATCTATGTCCTTCCTTTTTCTTAAAACTGAGATTCAAAGTAGCCCACTTCTACAAGCCTTTCATGAAGGCATGGCAGTCTGGAGAAAAGAAGAGTTTTTCTGTCCTTGAATCGTAAATCACTCCCGGATAGAGTATGGCTTGAAATGCTAAATAGTTGTGTTTCTCTGGGTTAGTGACAAAACTAGAGGTGTCTTTATAGTGTTAAATATAAAAGGACAAAGGGGAATGGACCAGAAAATTGTCTATATATGGATAGACATTCATGGTCTTCAGAAAAACCATTGGGTCTGCTAGGATGCTGATGAAAACTCTGGCAGAAGACAAGAGGGTGAAGAGAAGGGGAAATGCTCTTAGGAATATTTAATAGGAACATCACCAGATATGACTGGGATGTGTAGTAAGACCTCTATAAGGTCAATAGAGGCCAGGGTCTCTCTATTAGTAAAAAATGGAAAAGAAGCTGCATTTCTGTAGTGAAAATTAAATCTTTGAGATCTAATAAGACTGAGGATCGTCTTTCTTCTTTAGGACAAAGGGGAAAGCCCACTTAAACTTCTTGAGCCTTTAAGTAGATAATGGCTCCTGTTTGGATGATGTTACCCTGCCAGGGAGAGTCTCTGAGAACACATTCTCATCATTTCACATACACACATTTTATTGAGTGCCCACCTTAAGGTTTAACATGACCTTGAAAGAATGAACACAACTTATTTTTCAGTTATGGGGGCTACAGTGTTCCAGAACTGGACTTCGATTATTGTTTTCCTAAAGGGCAGTGACCTCCGAAGGATATCCAAACTTCTGGTGACAGGAGTCTAATTTAGAATGAAGTAGATTTAAGAAGGATTTATAAAACACATCTAATTTGGTGCATCTGAGGCCTGCTATTCTATTAGATATCAATCCATCTAGTGTTTTGAATCTTGGTATTACACTGTATATTGACTTTTGCTGCTGAGAACTCTTTTGGAAGTATTTTTATTTTTTATATTACTTTGTACCTACTGGCTGAAATCCTGCTGAGCAAGTTACACATATGGTGTAACTTGTAGAATCAAGCTGCCTCACTTTAAGAAATCTTTACAGATATTATCTGTTGCATACTGAGTCAGATGACTTGGCATGTATTAGATAAGGTCTAGAGAGATGTCTTAACCTATGGCAATTTGTCTCTAATAGTTACACCATTTGCAAAACTGTGCAACGGGAGTTCAACCACTGCATATGAATAATCTTTATATTCTCATTATTCTGTTTATATATTAAGGATAATCATATGCTGTCAAGTCAGTTCTGAGTTATTGTGACTCTTTTCGGCATATGCTGTCAAGTCAATTCTGAGTTATTGTGACTCTTTTCAGGGTTTTTTAGTCAGAGAAGTGTTTTACCTTTCCCTTCTTCTGGGGGTGCCCTGAAACTGTGCAGTTTGCCCAAGATCACACAGGCTGGCTCTTCTCCTGGAAGGCATAGCTGGGAATTGAACTGCCAGCCTCTGGCTCCACAATCAGAAACTAAACCAATGAACTATCCAGCTAGCTATTTATATATTAGCCATGATTTATATACATACTAAACTCCCATCACAAACATTTTATTCTGTTTTAAGTGTTCTATATTGAGATCATTGTAACTAATTTTAACTTTTTGATACTATACTTTATTCCAACTGCTTTGCTTAGAAGGGTTGTTTTATTGGGACATAGCTAGAAACACTATGCAACTAGGCTGTACTCCTCCTATGTCTGAGGAAATTGATTCTGGGTTGAAAATCCTGTTTCCCTCCCCACAGTTAGGCATAAGTAGTTAAATCCAAACTGTCACTTCTAATTAAAATAGACCCACTGAATCAATGAGACTTACCGTAAGTGTTAACAAGTCCCATTCATTCCATGGGTCTACTGTAAAAATTAGATTTAGCTCTGAGTTATCAATTTATTGTTCATTAATTATGGAAGACTCTTATCTTCACATTAGATCTCCACTGGTTGTTATTCTTGTTGTTGTTATGTGTGTCAAGTGGCTTCCAAGTTATGGCGACCCTATGAATTAGTGATGTCCCAAAGGTCCTTGTTCAGATCCTCAGAACCAAAGGCCATGATTTCCTTGAGTCAACGTTCCAGCTTCCCTTTTTCATGCTGTCTTCAACTTTTTGTAGCATTATTTCCCCCCCAATGTGTGTTGTTTTTCATGATATGCCCAAATTACCCTGCATAAAAATGCATTCAATTTTGACATATTTTTCTCTATGTTTTAGAAGAGGTAGCTATATTAGTCAATGCTAGCATATCAGACCAATACAAAATTAAAAAAAAAGAATGAAGAATACTGTGGCACCCTAAAGATGAACTACTATATTTGCTGTTAGTCTTTAGGTCAGTCTGAGGAAGTGGACTTGTCCACGAAAGCTCACATTAAAATATAGCAGTTACTTTCTAATGTGCCACAACATTCTAGTCTTCCTGCATGGCAGTATCTAGGGGGTCAAGGAAAAAAAATCCTCCTGAGGATATAAGATTTGCAGACTGTCCCTCAGCTCCTGGCACTGGGCCTAATTCTCATGCTAGTGCTCTTTCTTCTTTCAAAAAGAACAGTAAGTCACTGAAATGTACATTTCTATTAGTTTCGCAGAACAGCTGTTCATTATGCAGTCTCACCTTGTATCCATAGATGCATCATTTTATTAATGCTAAAATCAGACTTTTCTTACCTGTATACAGAATTGGAAACATGAAAATAACTGTGGTTGGGAATTTATTGAGGTTAAAAAAATAAGTAAATATTTTGCCCTTTCTATAACAAAGTCAATTTCAGATAAGACAAAAACAATGTTAGGAAGGATCTCAGACAAGAAAAGTAATGTATAAAAACAAGAAATTCCTAGCTCACTAAGCAGGCAGTATTTTTTTATCCGTTACAGTTATTCATATAATAAAATCTATCAATCTTCTCAGCTTCACCATCTGTAATACCACCTAGTTCTTTGAACTGGCTGAGGAGAACAGACAAGAATATTTCAAATGGTTCAAACTGTACTTGTTCCTTCTAGTGACTCCATTTGATCTTCTGCAATCTTTATGATAATGCTCTTGCATTTAGTATTGTAATGGCTTTGTTCATGAGCGAGCTAGCAGTAGTTGGGTAAAGTCTGACTGCTGCTAATGCTGCTTTACTTGAGATCCATGAAGCGAATGTCCATGATGAGCAGATAGTTCTTGGGCAAAGGGCGAGGTGCTGGTGAAAGCACTGTGAAGACCTGGCGTTCTAGATCCACTCCAGTAACTACAATGAAACCAGCCACACTAGTCTCAGCAATGTTCTCATCAGGGCCATCAGCAGTACTAACACTGAGCAGGTGGTGCACCATGTCACGGCCAGGTGTAACTGGCACCAGTTTGAGTTGGTTGTCTTCTTGCGACATACCCAGAGGCAGACATGAGTCAGGGATGGTGGGGGCCCCCACCTTGTATATCTTGACATCAGAGAACTTGACATCGAAGGCATGTGGGTAGAAGCATCCTCGGAAGCCATAGAAGTATTCACGTATGCGATCGTCTCTAAACTCCCTCCGGAAGTCCTTGGAGCGCTCCACCACTCCACCTGACTTGGGGAGCAGCACTGTCCGGACAAAGTGAGGCAAGTCCCGTTTCAGTTCATTGTAGAGGCGCTCTTGGTCTAGTACTACTACTACATCAACTTCAAAGGCAGATGCAGCATGAACAAGCGCCTGGTACCCAGATCCCTTCACCCAGCCACAGGTATTGATGACACAACCACTGACAGAAGCACGTCGGTTCACTTCACATCGCTGGTTAAAGACTTCGGCCAAGCGAGATGTGATCTGTACAGAGGAAAAGGCAGAAGCAACAGAAATAACAGCAAGCCTCATAAAAAGATAAAACATTTATGACATAAAGATAGCTGACCTCTTTTGGAAGCTTCTTTCCCCAAAGGTTTCAAGATATTTCACATACATGGGGAGCTTCCTTAGTAGACCATTATTTGTTTTCTTTTTTAAAAAGCAATGAATCTGTATTGTAGTTCTGTGAGCATGTGATGCTGCCTTATACTGCTCCAGACTATTAATCTATATAGCCAATTTCTGTCTAAATTGACTAGCAACAGCTCAGCAAAACCTCAGTGAGAAATCTCTCCAAAACCTTCTGTTTTTAACTGAAGGTGTTGGGATTTTTCAGGCAAAATAAATGCTGTACTCTGAAGCTGTAATACTCCCCTTCTTTGAAAAGGTGGACAGAAAAATGTGACACAAGATTAAAAATATTTCTATGAATTTGGCCACTAAACATAATTTTTAAAAAAGCTGCTGCCAGCCTAAAATCTCTTTTCACTCTTGAAGAACTCTCCCCCCCGCCCTGATTTTGTCTGATGCACCTTTGTGAAATCAGATTAAAATCCTCTCAGCTATAAAGCTCAATTGATAGCACTGGGCAGGTACTGTCATTCAACCTTGTCTACCATTCAAAACAACTCCGAGTCTATAGTAGTAGAGAATAAGCCTCACTGAACATAGCAGGATCACTCATGAGCAAATAAGTACAAGATTGTGCTATAAGACCCTCAAAAGCTGCTCCGAGCCTGTTAGAAAGAGGAAGGGAGAAAATACGTACATGTAGGAAATGGAATGGCTTAACTACAAATAATGGCTGAAATATTATTGCCTTGCACAGTAAGCTGCACCAAAGTAGGTTCACTGGATCTGTGGAGATTTTGTATGCCAACTTTTTTTAGGTTCCATTGATTCAAGTGGGCAAGTTACTCTGCTAACACAAGTTGGAACTAGAGTTGGCCCATTTGACTCAATGGAACTTACAGAGGAGTTGATTCACCAAATTCCCATTGGTTCAATGGGCTTATTCTAGTGCAGTTTACTATACTAAGCAACAGGATTTCAGCCAGTGACTTGGTGAAAAGTACAGTATCTGAAGCAAAAAGTTGGCATAAGCTAGACACATGCAGTTGTAAAACAGGTTTATGCTGTGTAGATACAGAGGATATTCAAAATGGATGCAGGCAAGTAATGCATCTCTCAGGAAACAAACAGCTGTCTAAATTAGTGTCTGAAATGAAACACAGTGATCAAACTTATTTTTGATTAGCACTGTCAGTTCGATCAGTGCATTCTTCACAATGGTGATTCAGAGTTTGCAAAATAGCTAAGCTGTTTTAAAGCAGATGCTTCTAGATTAAACAAACATTACCAGACAAATCAGAATAGATGTTTTCTTCAGTAATGTGTTTTCCAATAATTAATCAATCAGATTAGTTTTTAGAGATTTGCATTCAGTCCATATGGGTATGCTGTCTCAGAGAAAGATATTAACATCTCCCATCCCAACCCACCCCCAATGTTCTCTTACCTATTTAACTTCCCAGATAATCAAATAAATCTATCTCACTATATTTTAATGGGTTGTTGGTGAAATGATTCAAGATCACCAAAAACCCTGCCTTCAGATAAATTAACTACAGGTAGGCTTCAAATTAATCACAACTGAAATGTAACTCACTAAATGCCAGATCAAATTAACGAGAAAATATTGATTAGTCAACAACAGATTGAATAACTCTGCCAACTCATGTCCAGTGTTTCAGATATTTTATTTATTTTTATTTATTATTGGATTTTTATCCCGCCCTTCTAGACAGAAGTCTACTCAGGGCGGCTCACAATATATTGTGCATAAACAAGTTAAAAACAACAATTAAAATCTACACTAATACTATAATCGAGATGGGAATAAACATCAAAACCAAGAAAAGGAAAAGTCAAGTAATGGCAGGAGGGAAGGCTTGCCTAAAGAGCCAAGTTTTTAATTGGCTCTTGAAAAGACCCAGTGAGGGTGCCAAGCAAATTTCTGGTGTCAAGCTGTTCCAGAGTCAAGGGGCCACCGCGGAGAAGATATATAGACAATCTCATAGATCTTGTGGTAACAAGAATTTCACACACCTCACAAATTTAATTAATGTTTACTTAAACAGCTCCTGCTAATCAGCACACAAAACTCAGGATGGAGAACTAAGCATGTTATCAAGATAAGAGCCAAAGTCTTTTCCCTCCCAAATTATCTAAATCTTTTTCTTCAGCAGCAGTACTGTAATTTCCTGTTAATGAGAAACATGTCAAAGTACTTGGTAAACCCAAAGATAATCTTTGTAGGACTGGCTGCTACTCTGTCTTCACAAAAAGAAGATGGTGATAGTCTTCTTCTGTTAAGCCCAGCAAGTAATCATGGGTGATTCAATTTATCACCCTTTGTCTCCATCTCAGATGGATACATAACATTATTTCAACACAGCACAATGAGGCCAGGCAATTCATGGATTTTACACTCTGCATGCCATGGCTGGGGGAGCAGAGGCTCTTCCGTTGGACTGCTATTATGTTTCTTACTTAAAAACACTGGCCCTTCTTGATTGTTTGGCTATGGGGCATCTTGGAATTCTACTCCAAAGTCCTGCCTCAAATGACTGCAGAGATGAGGGAGACTGCTAGGGAACACCATGCCACACATACTCCAAACATGTCTCTTACCTTGTTATAAAGTTTGATGTTAGTGCCAGGCGTTGTGGACCCAAAGTGATAGACCAAAGGGGCCTGCACTGAGAATCCTTCTTCCACATCTGCAGGTCGCTCAATATAGAGTGCCCCCATGGTGCCTGGGATGGAGATTGAGCCCTGGCCTACATCCAGCTCCACAAAAGTGGGTCGGCGCCCCAGGCGCACAGCATAATTCAACAAGAGGCGGCAGACAGTTGACTTTCCTACATCTGTGGGGCCCACCACCATGACTCGAGGCCCCCGTTCATCTTCGCGCTCTGCTTGCCACCGCATCTGCTCCAGGGCCGTGTGGGTATTGAGATACAGCAGCATGGGAGTGTCTTTTGAGACATAGGCTACTTCAGTCCGACCAGTCAACTGCACAGAACAGCCATGCCAAGTGAAAACAGCCACTTTAGCACCAGCATCGAAAGTGAATTTCTTGTTGCGTGTCAGTTCAGTTCCAAAAATCTCAGCCATTCCTGACATAAGTTCTAGCTGGACTATTTGTGAGGCTTCAACCTCAAAGCGGAGCTCTGTTTCCCTCTCCAGCTCAAACTTGGCCACCAGCTTCTTTTCATCTCCAGCTTCCTCTGCCATGTTTTTTATTCAGTTTCTACAGATAAAAAATGTAATTAATTTAAATGTACATTTCTTTAAAATAATAAAATAAAATCTAGATTGTTCAGATGGTAAGTGAAAATGTCAAGATTTTTTTCTTCTCCTGACATCTCATTTTCTGAAAAGCAGTGTTTCTAAAAAAAAAATAAAAAAATACAATGTATATTTTTTGAAAGATAAACACGCATTTTCCTATGTTTAGAATCTAACGCAGACTTCTTCAACCTGTCTCTTCGTATTCTTTTTACTATAGCTCTGATCAACTCTTCACACTAGCCATGCTTCTTACAGCAGATGCCATGTTTCCCTGAAAATAAGACAGGGTCTTATATTAATTTTTGCTCCAAAAAACACATTAGGGCTTATTTTCAGGGGATGTTTTATTATTTCATGTACAACAATCTACATTTATTAAAATACAGTCATGTCATCTGGTTGCTGCACAATGGTGAAGGTTTCACTTAACTGGGGCTTATTTTTTGGGTAGGGCTTATATTACGAGAATACTGAAAAATCATACTAGGGCTTATTTTCAGATTAGGTCTTATTTTTGGGGAAACAGGGTAGATATTGTAGTACAAACCACCTGGAAAGACCTAAGTTGAGGAAGACTGATGTAAACTGACGACTGTATTTGAAGGTAGATAGGGTATTTCCCCAGTTTACTTAATAAATCTGAGAACATGCCATCTCATGTGGTTCGCCATGTCACAGGCCTACAGCATCAGGTTTGCTTTTTAAAGTTGTTCCTTCCCATTTTTTCTTTGGGCCTCAACATAAGATGGATGATGTGTATTAAAAAGGGCTATGAATGTACACTTGCAGGATACTATATTTATGTTTTTCATTTTGAGCTGGGGGTGGCAGGTAGTAGGCCAGTCCTTTCTCCCTAAGGGGATGACCCACAAATCTCCATTGCAGGATACATGGCTGCACTGTCTATGGTGGCAACACCAGATGATTTAATCAAAAGTTATGATTTATCTTGTACGTTCTAGAGTAATGAAAATGTTCTCTCTCCAGATATTACAGGCCGCAACTCTCAGCATCTCTCAAACCGCCAGGCAAACTGATGGTAGCTGGAGTTCAACAGCGTCTGGAGGGCCATAAAGTCCCTTATGTTCCTCTATGACAGCTGATCAGAGTCCGCTCTCTGTATCTCGTTAATATCCCATTTTCAAACGGAGTTTCAATCCCATCCAACGGCAGATCTACCCCGAAGCTAAGGAAATTTAAGCTTCAGGGCTCCTAATTCGGGAGGGGCTCCAGAAGCGACTTTAGTCCTCATTTTTAAAAACGTTGTGGTGATCTGTCATGGAATGACCCCACTGAAGAAAATAACAGGGGTTCTCCCGATCTCGTTGCTGGTTGCGATGGGCTCCAGACCTCCAAAACTAGAGGTCCGCCACTGATCCTACCCCACCAGGTCTTCCAAATCCTGCTACTCCCCGGCATGTCAGCGACTAGACAGCGTAGGAAGGAAAGAATCTAAAGCAGGGCGGAGGTAAGGCGTTCCCAACGAAGGACTACAAAAGCCCGTAGGTATCCTGTCTTCGCCGCGTGGACTGTATTTGAACGGAGCCAAACCCTTGCAAAGCTGCTGAAAGTCACCCACCTACCGAACTCCTACCACATCAGTCCTGGAACAGGCCAGGCAACGAAAGAGGCAGCAGCTCCGGAAGAGGTGGGGGGAAACGGCGATGATGCCGCTATTGTGACGAACAAGCGCTTGAGGACCGCACCTACCGAACTCCTACCACATCAGTCCTGGAACAGGCCAGGCAACGAAAGAGGCAGCAGCTCCGGAAGAGGTGGGGGGAAACGGCGATGATGCCGCTATTGAGACGAACAAGCGCTTGAGGACCGCCTCCTCGCTCAGTGACTTCATGGAGATGCAGTTCCGCCGGCGATGCAGATCCCCGTACAAAGGTGAAATGGTTGCCGTTCGCGCGGCCTTCTGGGAAATGTAGTTTCTGCCCTCAGTCTTGCCCGTCAACATCCCCCGCGTGAATATAAGGGGGAAGAGGCAGGGCAACAAGCATCTTTCTCTTTTCCTTCTCCTTCGCTGTGCAACATGTCATTTTTTTTCCTTCCTCGCCACCTCAGCAAAGAGCCTTTCGAGGTGTCTGTGGTTTTATCAACTTAACCCACACCAGTAACGCATATGTCACCGTACTTAAATGCACAAAGGATATAGATGCGCACAGAGATTTGTTTTCAGAGGTTTCTAAAATCCGGGTAGGTGTCACAGAATCCATAAACCGCTCAGATAAGTTTTCAAGAATAGAGTCTGGCGACTGCAATTCGTGTTTAAGTTGTCAGGCTCCCAAACAATCTCGTGTCGTGTCCTTTTTTTTTTTTTTTTTTGGTCAGACAAAGGCTGATCATGATCTGACAGACAGTCTAATCTGGCCAAAACAAAAACTAATCTGGCAATCATTATACTTGATTTAATGCCAACTGGAGGAAGGTCTGGTTGTCGCTACAGCATGTGCCTATTAGCCTTAAGGCACAGATTTACTGCGTGTAAGCTATTGTAGATTTAGGGCAGACAGAAGCATATATCATACAGCAGGGTCTCTATGCCAAAATCAAGTTGGAACTGCATGAAGCAGCAGTTGCACAAGCAGTGTGCGATTTATCAAGTTGGCTGTCATACACTCACACATGCCCAGGTCACACAACCAGTTGTCCACAAGGGAAGGATGACAGATGGCAAAATGTAAAATTTTGCCCCTAGATTTTAAAATGTCCCATAATTCTTTTTCCTATGATTAGTTCAGGGTAACTAATTTTGCTCTCTTCTCTGGGGTATGGAATGTCATTTCTTTTACACAGCCATTCCTTATACACGGGTGACAGGCTTCCAGATTCCTGTAGATTTCCTTCCTGAAAACAAATTTTACTTGAAATTTCGAGATGTACAGATAGTCATGAGGGAGTTGTATACTAACTATAGATGCCAGGCTTTCGGAGCTCAGAGAGTATACTTGCCATTTTGTGGCAAGTCACTCACAGCAGCTGTGATGCAAAACACGAACAGCAGTCTAATAAGATCCCGATGCCCTCCTCCTTCCCAGAGTCAATACACTTCCAAAGAGCAGTTTCAAAAATGTCAGTTTCAAAGATGGCTTCACTAAACTACCTGAACCAACCTGTCCTGTTTTTCAAACACAGATTTGAAAATATCTATTTTAAACAGACAAAAAAGTGTGATAGTACCCGTAACTCTATTTTAGTAACAAGCTGTGCTACAGGACCTTTGAGACCCACCTTCCTCCATCTATCAATTAAGAATAAAATAACAGCTATCCAGGATCAGGTCTAAGGCCTATCTAGCCCAGCATTATGTTCCCACAGTGGCCAAACAGATGCCTAAAAGCCCACAAGTAGGACATTGTCATGTGTGATCCCCCCCTTTGTATTGAATCTCTCAGCATTCATCCTTTCTCGATAATGTGGAAGCCAGCTTGGGGTGGGGGGAACCTCTCTCTGCCCCCCTTTTGTACACCACACATCATTTCATACACTTCTTGTTTTTTTCCTAAGCTAAATAGCACCAGTTGTAGTCTTTCTTCATAGGGAAAATGCCTATGATCATTTTGGTGGCCATTTTCTGCACTGTTTCCACCTCTATAACACCCCCTTTAAGGCATAATGGGCAGAACAGTACATAGCATGCATGCCAAGTGCAGTAGTGCTATACATTTGTCTAGAGACACGATGACATTGGCAGATTTAGCCCTGACTGCTTTGCCAGTAGTCCCCAAGCCCAAATACAACTTGAGAAAGTGTGAGATTGGAATGGAAACATGAACAAGTGGGTCTGGGCTGGTGGAGAGCCCTCCAGCTGTTATAGACTGTAGCTCCCATCAGTATTAGCCACTGGTGAGGGATGATTGCAACTGTAACCCAACAATCCCTGGAGGATCATCTCTGCTGTAAGGCTATGCTGATGGAGATCAAAGAAGCAGCAATGGGTTGGAAAGAAAAGCTTCAGGAGGAAAGGGATGAAGAAACAGTACAAGGCATTATTATCAGTTTCTCTGTTCCAGCCCACATTCATCTTTAGTGAGAACTGAGTCATCTTCACATCATCTCCCTGTGACAGAGATACTAGCCCCCCATTTTTGGTAGGAAATATAAGGTTGGTCCCACACCATTTGGCAGAAAAGGGGGTCTGTTTCAGGCTGCAGTTGTTGAGGGCATCCTGGAGAGCAGTACTGATGTGATGGAAAAAAGACATCTCTGTGCCATATGACCTTTTTTTGTGTCTTAGTCCTTGAGCAGCCCTTGGGTGTGGTGGGGGATTTTGCCTCATCACTTGTATTGATCTAGGGTTAACTCTGATCATCTTATGTATGTTAGCTTAGGGAGGGTCATATGCTATATCATTCTTCAGCTCAGAGAGCAGAAGGTTTTAGGCTGGCTCTGATGAGAGATGAAACAATAGTCAGTTTCCAGATACTTCTGTGTCCCACATGAGTATCCAAAGCTGTTGAAAAGAGTCAGAATACTGTACAACCAAGAATGATGGTCTGAGTAGCAACCAAAATGCAGAAATCAGAGGGAGCTGATGTTAAGTATAACCAAAAAGTAGACATATCAAGTCTGAAAAAAAGTTTTCTGTTGCTTTATTTTACCGGTTGCAGCTACCCCACTCAAAGGCACAGTTATAAAAAGCCCAGTACTCCTTGTACTCAGATTGAATTTTGTTTCCATTTTACAGTCTGATTCCTTATATTTGGAGTCTTTAACCCATGGGTGATGAGCATGGAGCCCTCCAGACTTGGACTACAATTCTCATAGCTCCCTTACTATTGGGCATACTGAGTGGAGCTGATGGGAATTGCGAACCAAAATAACTGTAGGGTTAAACATTCCCCACCCACCACTTGAAGGACATTAACAACGGCCTAAACCAATATTATTCCCAACTAAAATAGACTCTTGAACAAAAGGGACTTATTAATATTAGAGTATGGCCTAGTGATTCACTGCCGGAAATCTTGTTGCTTAGTATAGTAAATCACACTAGAGTAGGCCTATTGAAGCAGTAGGGATTTGGTGAAGTAAAGTAAGTTGCAAAAATAAGCTGCAACTAGAGTAGGCCTATTTAAATCAATAGAATTCATGCAGGATTGACTCATCAAATTTTCTACTTAGTGCTACACTCAAGAACAGAATTTCAGCCAACAGTTGTACTCTATTTGGGACTAACAATTGGATTTAGCCAGGTTTGTGTGTGTGTTTGGGGTTTCAAATTGTAAAATGGAAGAAAGTTCAGTATCAGTACTGAATACTGATCAGTGTTCAAAATGTATGTACTACTCTTTGGCTGTCAAAGTAAAAATGAAAGAAAGATTGTGATTTTGGAAAACAAAGTACAGTAATAGTGGAAAGAAACAAGTATTGAGGATCAGGAAGTATGATGCTTCTTGAGTACTGTACTGCCACCTAGAATACCTAGTTACTTATATGTAGTATATTTGTATGTCTTTCATATTTGTATTCCTTTCTTGGCATATTTGTAAGCCTTTCAGCCTGTGGCAAGTAGGTTTCTAATAGTTCTAGTTCTTAGCAATTCTGTATTCGTTTTCAGCAGGAGAACTGGATGCAGGTGCTCAAGACAAACCTAACCTACACAAGGCTTAGCATTAATGTTAATGGGGCCCATGCTTGGAGACAACACCTGCTTGAAGAAGCTCTGTGCCATCAAAAACTCATACTGTATATCTTTCAATTAGCAAAATGTGGTCAACATGTGTTACTCAAAATATATGAGTTATGGCTCACCCTTGAAGCTTCAGCTTTGATAATGCAGCTCATGCTTTCACCAAGAAAAGCTGGGGCTAGTTACTCTTTACAACAGGACCTTCTGGGTTTGATTTATCTTCCTGCTGCTTATTTGTGGACTGAATGACTCCAGTTCTGCCTGCAGAAATCAATACTCCAACTTTTGTGGATTTTACCTGGACAAGACATTAACACAAGAGATGTGTATGTGTGTGTGGATCACAACAGAGAAGTCCGTATTGGTCAGGCAAATATTTCCTGAGGTGGGGATATGATGCGCCTCTCGACCTCCTCTTTCAGAGAAGGCAGTTTTGGAGGGGAGAGCGAAGGGGAGTCTGAGCAATGACAGCACTTAGGGACACTCAAGGTTGACGCGCGCCAGGACGTGGGGGGGGGGGCTGGCGGGCCTTGAATTTTGAGGTGTCACAACGGGAAGTGTTGCCTGAGGGACTGGCTCTGTGTGTGTGTGTGGGGGGGGGATGGCTGGATGGAGAGCCTCCGAGGGTGAGACTGCAGATTTCTCGCCCGTGACCCTCAGCTGCGTCTCTCTCCCTCTCTGCGTCAGAGTTTGCCACGGGCGCGCATGGTGGGATGTATCACCTGCGCGTCTCTCTCCGCCGGCTCCGTCCCCCCTTCGCCGTCTGAGGCCCTATTTGCCCGCCTCCAGCCTCCGCAGCCCTACTCTCCTCTCCCCCGCCCCAGCACAGCCATTGCCCGCGGCTCGCCCTCCCCGCAGCATCCCGGCCGCGGTGGCCCCTGCTTGTTCCCTCCCTCCCCCCTCCTTTTGATCCGTGTCTCCGGCCCCGCTCTGACGTCGCGGGAGGCTGACGGGCTGGTGGGGGGGAGGGAGAGAGAGAGAGAGACAGAGAGGGAGCGGGGAGGAGGGCGGGAGGGATGACTCGCAATGTTATGATGCGGTTCCACAACACACAGCCACATTCGGATAGAGACGGAGCACAAAACCGGCCCTCCGGCTGCTGCCTCCCAGCGGGCGCTCCCCTTGGCGCGACCCCTCGCAGACCCGGCAGCGGCAGCGGGAGCGGTCCGAGGCGGAGCCGGGCGACCCGGGAGCAGGTTTCAAGGTGAGCCCCCCGCGCGCGTTGAAGGCAAACCCGACGGGCAGGCGCGGAAACTTTCCCTCCCTCCTGCGTCGCTTCCCCCCCCCCCCCCCCGCCCCCCCCCCCCCCCCCCGCCCCC